AGTGCGGGGGGAGGGCAAAGTCCCTGCGACAGGAGAGCTGGGGGTTTCTAGACTGATCCTGGCCACTGCACTCTGTGGGTAGAGGGTGTCCAAGATCCTGTGAAGCCTCCAGATCGTGTCCGTGTTTCCCTGAGTGTTAGGGAGGAGAAATCCAAAGGAGCAAGGAGGAGGACTAGTCTGTTCTCCCATTGGCAGAGGCCACGTGACACAAGATGCTCCGATCCCAGGCTCCCCACTCTACACCATCAAAGCCTTCATCCCAGCCATTGACTCGTTCGGCTTTGAGACGGACCTGCGGACCCACACGCAGGGCCAAGCCTTCTCGCTCTCCGTCTTCCACCACTGGCAGGTGAGTCCGAGCACCCGTGAGCCAGGGGAGAGGGATACAGCAGGAACAGGCTGTGCCAGGTGCCCTCTGCAGAGCAAGCTGCTTTCTGTGGACGACCTCCTCAATGGCAGAGGGTTTGGGAGCTGGTGGAGGCTTCGTGCGTTAGCTGCAAACTGTCTGCCAGAAACCAGTGGCTTGGTTCCAAGCTACGTCACCATTTGCCTTAGCGAGGGAGCGCTCGACGCTGCTGCTCGCTGAGCGTAAGGGTCCTTCAGCGCCTGGAGAAAGGGCATCCTCGTGCAGGGGAAGCTGTCGGTGCAGTGAGCGCTCTGCGGCGCAGGGAGCTTGGAGCGGGGCTCAGAGCCCATCTGCTGCAGGATGCCCTAATTGAGGAGGCAGGAGGTTGCGCTCGAGCTGCGCCGCGCGCGGGAGCTGTGACAGGGCCATGCAGAGCAGGGCCTGGCACAGGATTGCAGCCGCTGCTCCGAGAGGCAATGGCTGCTCGTGGTGCAGCGGGATGGGAAGAGCCGGCTTGGACGTGAGGAGGGGAGGGCCGGAGGGTCGGCGCCGCGGGGAGCCCAGTGGGCCTGGGCTTTCGCGACGGCTGCTCCGGTTGGGACGCTCATGGGCCTCGGGAGTTAGCAGGTATCTGAGGGATAGGGGAAGGTGGGATGTGTCTTGGCTCGGATGAGCATTACTGTTTAACTGCATCCTGGCAGTGCAGACGGAGGTGGTGGTAGTGAGGTGACAGTGTCCCTGTGCCAGGAAAGGAGATGTGGTGTCGGGGCTGTGAGGACAGGGCCAAGGGTGGCTGCAGGGCCTGGGGGGGGTGTCTCCCGCCGCGCTGCAGTTGAGGCCTGGAGCTTGAAGCAGCCCCCGGCATCACTCCGTGCATGTTCTCACGTCCCAGACTTGTGTTTCAGATTGTGCCTGGTGACCCCTTGGACAAGAGCATCGTCATCCGGCCCCTGGAGCCCCAGCCGGCCCCGCATCTGGCCAGGGAGTTCATGATCAAGACCAGGCGCAGGAAGGTAGGTCGGGAGCCAGCCCGGTCGCATCCCTCTGTGCTGGCAGCTCAGACGTTGCAGTGCTCTCCCTGGAGCACGCTGTGTCCCCTTCGTGTTCCCAGACTTGAATAATGTCCTCTGTGCCTCGGGGACTTCCCTTTTTTTGACGTTCCTCCGTGCTGCTCGTTGGTGGCTGCGATGGTCCCATGAGCAAATTAATCTGGCAGCAACTGCAGCCAAAAGCAAAGTCCTGCGGCCTCCACTGAGCCCCGCTCTCTCCCCAGTGCCTGTTTTACACCTTGGTGACCTGACTGAGCTCATCAGCCCTGTGAAAACACAGGTGTCTTTTCTGTACCTGTTTAGTGCACTGGACTGAGGGGTTGGGGCTGGTGTGGGAGGTGGGAACAGACAGGAGCGAAGGGGAGCAGGTTCCACCATGGGAGGGCAGCGAGCTGGTAGGTACCCCTGCCTGCAGAAACTGCCTGTTTGCACCTTCCTGATAGGCTCTTGGCTGTCTTCAAGCTGCTGGGCAGATTTTCCTGCTTCTCCTGGGGCCCAAAAGTTGCCCTTATCCCCCAGGACATCAGGGCTCTGTCCTGGGGTTTCTGCCGGGGTGGCCCTGCCGGCTGCGCAGGGCCTCACTCCGGCTTCGTGCTCGCTCTGCAGGGCCTCAGCGAGGACGTCAGCATCAGCAAGTTCTTCGACGACCCCATGTTGCTGGAGCTGGCCAAGCAGGACGTTGTTCTCAACTACCCCATGTGAACGGGCCCTGCGGGGCTGCCCCGGGCGCTGTCCCTCCCTGCTCCCCCAGCTCCTCGGGGTGGCAGGGACCTGCTTCCGTGGTGGCTCCTCCGCGGCCGCTCTCAGGAGCAACCCCGAGCCCCAAAGCTTCTCCTTGGCCACGGAGGCCTCCAGGGAGGAGGGTTCCCCTCCGGCCACACGGCTTGTCCCTGCGTGTGGCCCCCGCTGCTGTGCAGCAGCATGAATATAACGTTAAGATTACTAGGGACGGAGTGTAAATGGGTCCTAGAAGCCTTCCCTGGAGCAAGGGCAAGTCTGGCTCTTACCTTTTTGTACAAGAGTTTTTCTGAGTCCTTATAAACGTTAATACAAACGTCCCGCCCGGGTGGCTGTGTGTGATCGCTCGAGGGGAGCGGGGGGCCGGGAGCGCCTCTGTCTTCGCTGGTGCTCAGCGGGGGCAGCGCTGCCCCGATTTCCCCTGCAGAATCTCCCTGACTCCCTCACCCAGAACATTTTCACCCGCTCCCATACTCGGATTTTCTTCCTTTCTTGGCGCTGCTTCAGGCGGACGCTGGCTCCTCTTGGAGCTCTCCGTGTGCTGTAAACCCAGCTCTGCTCCGGGCGTTTGCTGCCCTCTCCCTGCCTCCTGCTCCGTGGAGCCGCTTATCCCGCGTTCTCCTGGGCTGAGCCCCGCGCCGGGGGCTCGGGCTGCACCCAGCTCTGCGCTTTGTTTCCACAGGGCCGGGGCTTTCCGGGACAGCGGGGAAGGAAGCAGCTCATGGAAAGCAGCTCCTCTCCCGTGCACGGGGCAGGATGGGGGAGCAGGGCCTGGAAAGCAGCGGGAAGGGTTTCCTGCCGCCCATGGGGCTGGGGGCTCCGGCCTTATCGCTTCGCTCGGCCCTTTCCGGCCTCATTGTCCCGCTCCAAGCCCCTTTCCCTGGGCTAACGGGTGGGGAGGAGCCCCCCGCCAGCGCCCGCGGCCCCGGGGCCGTGGGAAGGAGCCGCTTACTACGCAGCGCCTGGGAAACGCGGACCCCGGA